ATCTGTGTGACACTTGGGGTTCACTAGTCACCTGTCTCCCAAACCCTAGGCTGCCTGCTCCATGGCACCTGCCCCTGCAGCACATCTGCCACCCCAAACCAACCATGTGGAGACTCTGGCTCCTCCAGACATTTCTGGACTCACCGGAATAAAGCACCATGCTGCCCGACTGTCCGCCAAAGAGGCCGGCAAGTACAACCCAGAAGGGCAGGCGAGTTCACTCCCTGTAGGACAGTGGGAGACCAGAGATGGGAAAGAGCCAGTAAAAACTCCTCTCTCCCTTTCTCTCCCAGATGAACAGTTTCATGGTGTGGTTTCTCGGCATAGCCTGTCCAGAGACATACCACGTGGTCTGGTGGGTGTACCTGCCAAGACACTGGCCTTATGTCTTCAAGGCGGTTACGGAGCAGTAGCCAGCATAGTAACACATACCTAGTGTTGCTCCTCATCCTTCCCTCTCATGCCCTCTGCCAGTGACTGCACCTCCCAAATAAACTATTAGCACTTAATTCTTGCCTCAGACTTTGCTTTCTAGGGAGCCCAGGATGAAATAATTATTCACTGAACACAGTGAAGTTGCCTGGCAGCCTACCATATCCTGTATGAATTTCTTGAGCTTTCTCTAACATAGGGCTTTGGATGGGGTGAGGGGGGGGCTACCTAGGATTATAGGTCACAACGCATCCCCAAATCAAACCCCAGGTTTAATGCCTCTTTCTTAATGAAGGAATTACCAATGGCAGTATCTGAAGGAAATATCTAACTTCTGCCACTTATCTTTCTCTGGGGTATGGCTCTTTATGTCCTGTGTTTTCAATTCAGGCCCTCGTCTTTCTTATGAGGATCACTCTGGGGGTGTCCTATACTGTTTTTGTGGCCTCCAGCCCCACCATCTTCTTCCTGAGTTGAGCCTTTGCGTGTATCACTCCCTTTGTCAGAAATTCTTCCTTTTCTGTTTTGCCTCCAGCCAACTTCTATTTGATCTTTTCAAACATTGTATAGGAATTCAAGTGTGGCCTCTTGCAAGAAACCTTTCCAGACTCACCCTCACACTAGAGTGATTACTGCTATAAACTGACTGTTTGCGTGTTCCCCAAATTCACATGTTAAAACCGAATCCCCGGTGGGATGGTATTTGGGGGTGGGTCTCTGGGGTCTTTTGGGTGATCAGGTCGAGGGCAGGGCCCTCATGAATGGCAGGGCCCTCATGAATAGCATTAGAGCTTTTATAAAAGAAACTGCAGAGCTCTCTTGTCCCTTCCACCATGTGAGAACGTAGCAAGGAGCTGGCCTGAACCACATACAAAATCTGCTGGCAACCTTGATCATGAACTTCTCAGGCTCCAGAACTATAAGAAATAAATTTTTGTGCTATAACCTGATGCGGACACTGGCCAGCAGTGTCCATGGCATTGTGGATAAGACGAGACAAATTCACATGGACCACCAAAATCCTGTGAAGGAAAAGGGACGGCATGGTCACTCTCTCAAGGGGAGAGTGCCTTGGAGTGCCTTAGCCACTCTCTGCAGAGGAGAATGCCCCGATCCTTGCCTTGACAAGCTTTTATTGTGTTTAATTTGTATAGGAATACAGGATTTATATGTAAAGCTCATCAATCATTGTTAGGCAGAAATGATTAAACAATAGATAGAACTTTCAAAGAACTCTGAGGGCTTATTCTGAGTCAGGGTCAGGTAGTTAAAGGGCCATAAAACTTTGGGGAACAAACTCACTTAGTGCTTGGACCATTATCATTTAAATTGAGGGTATTAGCAAAGTAGGTTTCACGGGATTTTATGCATTTTTTTCTTAGGCCTGATCGCCCCAGGGAACCTGCTCTTTCCAGCACAGGGACACACTCACCTCTGGCATTGTTTCAGACTGAAGTTGGGCAAGGAAAGTGAGGTCGCCAAGACATTAGGAGATTTCTTGCAGACAGAATGAGGACTCAGGCTATATTAAAGCCGAGGAGTGAGGGTCTATCACCCCCTTCTTCTATAGGCTCCCAAGTGCTTCCTTGAGGGCCCCTCATGACCATGCCTGTCTTAGGTCACCCCTCCTTTAAGGAATCTTACCCGTCATTGGCTAACCAGTCATCTACCCGGGGCCAAGCAGGATGAAGTAAAAGGGGGCAGAGGCAGCACCCCTACAAGGAAGATAAGCTTTGTCTCCTAAGTGGCTTATGGTCCCAAGGTCCTTTACTCAGCCTTAGCCATGGAGGTTACAGCTTCTGAAACCAGGCAGGTCGGTTCCCAACAGTAACCTACACTGACACATCATAATCATCCGAAGTTCCTAGTTTACATTCAAGTTCACTCTAGATGGTGTACATCCTTTGGGTTTTGACAAATGTATAACAATGTGTATCCACCATTATGGTATCACATAGAATAGTTTCATTGCCCTAAAATCCTCTGTACTCTGCCTGTTCATCTGTCCCTCCCTCCAACACCTGGCAACCACTGATTATTTTACTATCGTCATAGTTTTGCTTTTTCCAGAATGTCATATGGTTGGAATCATACAGGATGTAGACCTTTCAGATGGCTTCTCTCAGTCATAGGCATTTAAGGTGACTCCATATCTGTTCACGGCTTGATAACTCATTTCTTTGTCACACTGGACACTATTTCATTGTTTGGATATATCAGTTTATTTATCCATTTGCCTACTAAAGGACATTTGATTGCTTCCAAGTTTTGGCAATTATGAACAAAACTGCTATAAATATTTGTGTGTACATAAGTTTTCAACTAATTTTGGTAAATACCAAGAAATGTGATTGCTGGATTGTATAGAAAGGGTATGTTTAGTTTGCTAAAAAAACTATCAAACTGCCCTGGCTGGTGTAGCTCAGTGGACTGAGTGCCAGCCTGTGAACCAAAGGGTTGACAGTTCAATTCCCAGTCAGAGCACATGCCTGGGTTGCGGGCAAGGTCCCCCATGGGGGGTGCATGAGAGGCAGCCACACATTGATGTTTTTCTCTTTCTCTTCCTCCCGCCCTTCTCTTCTCTCTAAAAATAAACAAAATCTTTTGTTTTTTAAAAGAAACTGTCAAACTGTCTTCCAAAGTGGTTGTATCATTTTGCATTCCCACCAGCAATGAGTGAGAGTTCCTGTTGTTCTACATCCTTGCCGGCCTTTGGCATGGTCAGTGGTTTGGATTTTGGCCATCCTAAGAGGTGTGTAGTGGGATCTCAATGTTGCTTCAGCCAGTATCCTTCAAAAACAGGGCACAATAAGCAGAAAAGGCCCAGTTTAGAAGTTACTACAGGTGACACCTAGATGCAATACCCGATCCTGGACTGTATCCTGTCCAGGGGAAAGTACTATAAAAGACATTATTGGTACAGTGGACAAAACTGGAATAGGGAATGTAGGTTAAAGTCTTATGTCGATGTTGAATTTGACCATTATCTGTAGTTTCAATCTTAGGACTTAAACACTGAAAGATTAAGGGGGAAGTTGGACTGATATAGGCAACCTACTTTCAAATGATTCAGAAAAAAAAACATATAAATCTAGATAAAGGGAGGAAATGTGGCATAACGTTAGCAATTCATGAATCTTGATGAAAGATAATATGGGAGTTCTTTGTACTGTCCTTGCAGCTTTTCTGTAAGTTATTTCAAAGTAAAAAGTTTAAATAATTTTTAAGAGCTGCTTTTAATATTCCATCCATATCCTTCTCTTTTTTTCTTTTTTTTCTCTCTCACCCAAGGACATTCTCTCATTGCTTTTACAGGAAAAGGAAGGGAAAGAGAAAACCATCAACGAGAGAGAGAGCGAAGAATCGATTAGCTGCTTCCTGTATCCACCTTGATGGAGAATCAAACCCACAACCTTTGGGTTATGGGACGATGCTCAAACCAGCTGAGCCACGCCAACCCGGGCTCCATCCATATTTTTCGATGAGCACATACAAGTTCCTGTAGTATATTCTGAGGAATGGAATCGCAGGGTTGTAAGGTGCTGCATCTTCCACATGGCTGGCTAAATAGTTTACAAAGTGCCATGGACATTCTTATTAATTTTAGTTATCTTTTTCTATCACTGAAAAGTAAGGTGGTCAGCCATGCTGCTATCAAAGTGCAGGTCTTGGACCAGAAGCATCAGCTTCACCAGGGTGCTGATGGGAAATGCAAATCTCAGTATGATGCTAAGTGAATTAAGTCAGTCAGAGAAAGACAAATACCCTATGATTTCACTTATCTGTGGAATCTAAAGAACAAAATCAACAAAACTGAAACAGACTCAGAGATACAGAGAACAGACTGGTGGCTGCCAGAGGGGATTGGGGTTGGGAGAGAGGGTGAGAAGAAGCGAAGGGATTAAGAAGTACAAATTGGTGGTTACAAATAGTCAGTGGATCTCACCATAGGGAATATAGCCAAATCACACTGAAATAACTATATATGGTGCCAGGTAGACACTGGAAATATGGGGGGGGGGTACACATGGTAAAGTATATGACCATCTAACCACTTGCTGTACACCAGAAACTAATATAAAAGTATACTGAATGTAAACTGTAATTGAAAAATAACATTTAAAAGAGGTCATGAAAATAAAATTCTACATCATAACTATAAAAAAATGCAAACTCTCAGATCCAACCCGGACTTGCTGAATCAGAAACTCTGGGGATACAGCCCAAGAACCTGAGTTTTCACAAATCCCCTCAGTGACTATAAAAGTGCCGCTAATCTGCATGAACAACAATTAAAATAAAATTTAAAAAAGAAAAAGAAAAAAGTGGCGCTAATCTATGATCCATTAGGGCAGCGTCTGCCTATCAGACCTCAGTCCCCAAACCGCTCAACAGTTAAGTCCCCAGCTCGGGTGGGACAGTGTGGGAACCAGCGGTCTGCTCGCCCTTTCCAGGGCACCCTCCCCGTGAAGGCAGCTACACCAGGACCCTCCGTTGGTTAGGGGAGGGGAGGCCGGACGGGGCGGGCCTGAGGCTGTCGTCTCCGCCTCTCAGGAATTCGGCCAGCCGCATCTCGCCGTCCTTCTTCCTTCTAGCTCCTTTACTTCCTTCCTTCTCTCCTTCCGCCAGGCGCGATGGAGCCGGGACGAGGGGCGGCCGCGGCGCTGGTGGTGCTGCTGTGCGCGGGCTGCGCGCTGCGCTACGCGCGCGCCCAGTATGAGCGCTACAGCTTCCGCAGCTTCCCGCGGGACGAGCTGATGCCGCTCGAGTCGGCCTACCGGCACGCCCTGGACCAATACAGCAGCGAGCACTGGGCGGAGAGCGTGGGCTACCTGGAGATCAGCCTGCGGCTGCACCGTCTGCTGCGCGACAGCGAGGCCTTCTGCCACCGCAACTGCAGCCTGGTGCCCGAGCCCGAGCCCGCCCCCGGCCTCGCCCGCTATCCCGAGCTGCGCCTCTTCGGAGGCCTGCTGCGCCGAGCGCACTGCCTCAAGCGCTGCAAGCAGGGCCTGCCAGCCTTCCGCCAGTCGCAGCCCAGCCGCGAAGTACTGGCCGACTTCCAGCGCCGCGAGCCTTACAAGTTTCTGCAGTTCGCCTACTTCAAGGCAAGTCCGCCCCGCCCCGCCCCGCGGCCCCGCCTCCCTTAGGCTCTGGCCCCACCCCCTTTGTTCCAGGCCACGTTCCACCGCCCTTACTGGACCCGGCTGTCCACCCAGACCTGGCAAAGGACGTCTCCGCACCCCGCCCCCTTCTTCATCTTAGAGGTGGAGATACTTCAGCTAAGGCAGTGAATACATACATAGAACGTCTAGCAAAGTGGCACTCGGCCAAGTGCCTGGTAATAGTTACCTGTTATTGGAAGGAAGATTCATCTTTTCAGTATATGCCATTAAAATCCCTTTTTCTCAAGTGAGTGGTGACTTTCAATAATAGAGCCAAAGAGGACCTGAGGAGCTGGCTAGTCCCTTTAAAAGAGGAGGAGATGGAGGCCAGGAAAGGGCAGGACTCATGGTGAGGGCACATCCCTGCCCGAGGAGCAGAATTTAGCAGTGATTCATCAAGGTTGGCGCTCTCTACTGTCTGTCTTTCATCTGGAATTCAACAGCAGTCGGCCTCCTCCTTTGGGCTGCTTAGATTCTGTCTGTGATTGCTGGCTAAGAATAGTCACAAATTACAATCCTCTATATCCTCTGAGTCCTTACTCTGGGGACCCACGAGTTTTAAGAATGGGCTGAATTCCCTGTTACTGGATAAAGAGGCTTGAACCTGGCGAGTTTCCACTGGGTTTTGCCAAGAGAGCCTGCTCAAAGCCCACATTCTCCTTTATCTAATTGAAAACGATTTTTAAAGGAATACATTGCTTTTATTTTAATGACTACAAAATTAGATGCAGGGCATTGGCCAGACTCAGGAGGTGGAAGTTGGTTGTTTTGTTTTAACTTAGCTTTGAGTCTTTGGCCTGCAAGACCTGTTTTTCATATTTCCACTGAGACAGCCACGTGTGTATTGCAGTCATAGGAGTATAACAACAGCACAAAACCCCAAGTGTAAGAAAAGCTGGGTTCTTTTATGCTTGGGTGCAGTTTTATAAAACATACCAGTTTTGTGACTGTTTGTCCTGGCAATAAAAAAAGGTTTAAAAATGGAACCAGAAATAATATTAATACATTTCCAGGACATTGAAAAATAATGGCTAGCTCCTACAAACACTATTTTTTAAGCAAAAAAAAATGACTTGTTAAATTCTTTCTCTTTTTTGTATAGCTTTTGGCAAAGACAGAACCAAAATTGAATCACATAATCTTTACTTGTAAGACTTGGGAGTAGCAAAAGCTCTGATTTCTTTAATGTGTAGATGAATTTGAAACAAGCGACATAGGAGGAGGGGGAGAGCGTTTTACTCGATGTGCCCGTAAGGCCTGGGTCTTCTCCTTGGTCGCGGTGTCCTCAACGTTTAGGAAGTTCATAGCTTCTCTTCAAAACTGTTTATAGGTCTTGTAACAATCCCTCAAAAGTCAGTAAAATACCATCTGTCGCAGTATTTTGAGATCTCTTATAGGGCAGAAAAACGTTAAGAATTTTATTGATAAATATTAGGAATCTTCATTGCTTCAACTGAAAATCACTGAGAAAGTGATTTTAGGTGGTGATATTGTATGTTGTTTCCTTGTTGTTGTTGTTGTTCCTTAATGATGTTTATATTTTCACGTTTTGTTTCTGGGTAGAGAGAAAACGATCGGTGACAGGCAGGTACATCCTCCCTGACTCCGAAAGGCAGAGGTAGATGGTGCCGGCTGCTGTGGCGGATTTGGGTAGATGCCCCTGCGCCGGGCTGACGGCAGGCCTGTGTGTCCGTGCTGAAGGCCAGAGCCCTGATTGAACACGCGGAGAGGGAGGGTGAGTTCAGGCTGCCAGAGAGAGGTGAGGAGGTGCGGATGTGCCTCTTGTAGAGAAGGGGCCATCCTCCTTGTGTGTAGCTCTCAGTCCCACTAGAGACTTCATGTCACCAGCCACCTTAGTTCATGTCATGTCTGTGGGTTCTGTCTGTGGCTGCCATCTCCTTGAAATGCTCAACTTCCCCACAGGCCAAGGGAGAGGTGGGGTGCAGCGTTTTATCAAACCCTTAATGGCTGTGAGCAGACTGGGCCAGCCCCCTCGCAGGCACCCTGGTCCCGTCCTTTGCCTGGACGTGGACTCTGTTCTTTCCCAACCCAAAGGCCTGCCGCCTCACTGATTTAGGGGTGGCTCATTTGGCAGGTAGCTGGGGTTCTATCATGCAGGTAGCTCTCTCTGTCAGGAGCCCATGGCTGGGTAGGGGCTACCACCACCCCCTTCTCCAGAACCCGGCTGGGGTCTGTCTGAGGTTTAGGTGCCAAGATGTGGCTTCATGTTCCAGCTGGCTGAGCCTGCGTTCAAGTGCACAAAATCACTCTTTCCTCTTCAGGAGCGGGTTCTACTTTGTAAATGCAGGTCCTGCGTGAGAGGCCTTCAAAATCCCACTCTGTGCCCCTCCTTCTACATGCTCTTCTGAGAATCTGAGAACCTCATTTCACTGGCAAATGCTGTCAAACGGCTGCATTCATACCTCCTCCCTTCCTTCCAGCTGCCAGGCTGGCCTTTCCTGGCCAGGACTGTAGAGCTTTCTCTAGAGCCCTTTCTGACGCAGTCTGCGGGCCACTGAGGGGTGCTCCCAAAACACCAGCACGGACACGTGGGAGTCATCCCCGCCCACCACTCTCTCTTGCAGCCACCGCCGTTGTCTCTAACTGCCGTGGCTCTGTGCCACCCTTTGATTCTCAGGAATCCAAGTGTGACAAGTATCCCTTTCCCTTCTCTCTTCAAACCTGATTCTCCCATCCCTGCCTCCAAGTGTCCCTCGGGATTGGCTGAAGGAGTCTCTGTGCTTGTGTGTGGTGCCTGCCCTGCCCCCACCAGGTTGTGCCATGATTCCAGGGGACGCCCAGAGCTGGGATGTCAGTGTGTGTGTGCGTGTGCGCGCGCAGGGGTGTCCTCTGGTTGTCGGTTGTGTGTCCACACGGGGAGGTATCCATATCCCTGTCTACCTGCCCTCCTAAGCCCCCCTCCCCCCACAGCGTACCATTACTCCCTGAAGACTTCTTCCCTCCTGGGCTCTGCCCACAAGGGCACCACAGTTGCCGCCCCGGGGCCATGGAACTTGCTTCTCCTAAAGCTGCAAAGGGAAACTTTTTAGGGGAGTCTCCCTTTCTCCCTCTTCTCCTTTCAGGCCAGCCGGCTTCTGCCCACAGCTCCCTCTCCCAATTCTTCCTCTCACTTGCCAAGTTCCCACTTCCCAAGTTCCCTCAATGGCATGGGGCTTTTGTCACATGAGTAATTTCTGTGTTTTGTCCAGAAGTTACCTCTCATGAAACAGATAAGCTCAGAATCAGTTGGCCACTGCCTAACTGGGCAGATGAGAAAGGGGAAAAGAGAGCAAAAGATGGATCACTTTTCACAATCGCATTATGTAGTCACAGTGTCGTGTCCCAGTCACTGACTCCGTGTGCTGCCTTGTCCCAGGAAGTATACCAGGCGTGAGGAATGACACTGCTGGGTCCTAAAAGGACCATAGTCTGGACGGGGAGAGAGAAACACATTACCTGAGCCCACAGAGCGGTGTGAAAGCAGGCAGACAGAACATTGGGAACATAAAGGGCTCTTAATCAGGGTTGCTAGGAGATAGGGAGGACTCACTGCAATGTGTGGTGCATGAAGGCAGGGATTTTTTTTCCCTATTTTGCCTGTTGTTAGTTTCTAGAACAGTGCCTAGCATGTAGGAGGCTCTCCACAAGTATTTGCTGAGTGAGTGACTGAGTGGAGTGAGGAGATGGTGGCAGTCGCCGAGAACAGTGAACAGAAGGTTCTGCGAGAAACTTGGGAACTTATCGCGGTGTCAGGGTTTGGGCAGGAAAGATGTGGTCTAATCATTTGGGTGAGTGAAGGGACATTCATTAATAAGGCAGTTATGTACAGAGGCTGGTGACAGTGGCGTGTGACTACCCCGAGGCCAAAGGGGCGAAGGAGACAGCCTGGAAGGAGAGAGACTGTATACACAGAGGGCCACCTTGAGAGGAGCTGTGACTGTCAGTTGAGGGACAAGAGGAGGCTGAGGCTACCAGGCAGGGGGGAAGCCAGGAGACTAAATAACCCAACCTTACTCTCTCCTCTCCCTCTAGTCTCCTTAATGGGGTTCCTCATGGATGAACTCCACTGGAGGCTGGAGGGCAGAGTAGTCGATTGTTACAGTTCACACGGTCCACAAAGGCCAGCACTCCCAGGGTGCAGAGCAGGGTGGAGATGGGGGAGAGTAGATGATGAAAGCCCCCTGCACTCCCCAAGGCCATCTAGTCACTTTCAGGGAATAAACGCGTGTCCAAAGTAGCTGGACCAGGTCTTGATGGGCCACAGAAGTTGCTGAACCCTCAGCTGGAAACATTGTGTAGAAAAAAAAGTTACTGAAAGACCCAGTAGACCTCGTTGGGCAAAAATCACTGCTCACCGTCCATTGAGTCGAGTTTGTCTTTCTTCTTTGTGCTTCAGGCAAATAATGTTCCGAAAGCAATCGCAGCTGCACACACCTTTCTACTGAAGCACCCCGATGACGAAATGATGAAGAAAAACATGGCTTTTTACAAGAGCTTGCCTGACGCTGAGGACTACATTAAAGACCTGGAAACCAAGTCATATGAGGTATGGCTGGAGTTCTGCACGGTGGTCGGTCACAGTGTGAATTGTCGAAGAACAGTTCCAGCTATCGAAGGACTTCTAGTGATTTTTGATGGCATTTGATGAATACCATGAAAGTAGAAATAAGTGACTTTTTAGCATTGACCCATTTAAGAATGAGATTTTGCTCTGGCTGGTGTGGCTCAGTGGATTGAGCTCGGGCCTGGGAACCAAAGGGTTGTGGTTCAGTTCCCAGTCAGGGCACGTGCCCGAGTCATGGGCCAGGTCCCCAGCAGGGGGAGCATGGAGGCAGCCACACATTGATGTTTCTCTCTCCTTCCCTTCCCCTCGAAAAATAAGTAAATGAAATCTTTAAAAAAAATGAGATTTTGCATTCCATGATGCTATTAAAGCCACCTTTTCTGTAAATGGTACATTTTAGAAATATGGTCATTTGATTGTTCAGTGTTCTTAAATTATTTTTTATTGAATTTGCTAATACAGTTGTCCCAGTAGTTCCCCCTTCGTCTCCCTCTACCTAACACCCCTCACTCCCTCAGGCTATCGCCACACCATTGTTCATGTCCATGGGTCATGAATATAAGTTCTTAGGCTACTCTATTTCCTATACTGTACTTTACATCCCCATGGCTATTCTGTAACTACCTAGTTGTGCTTCTTAATCCCCTCACCTCTTCAGCCACTCCTTTTTACCCCTCTCCCATCTGGCAACCATCAAAATGCTCTCTGTATCCATGATTCTGACCATGTCCTTGTTTGCTTAGTTGTTTTTTTTTTAAGATTTTATTTATTTATTTCTTGATAGAGGGGAAGGGAAGGAGAAAGAGAGGGAGAGGGTGAGGAACATTGATATTCAAGAGAAACATTCATTGGCTTACATCCCCAACTGGGACCTGGCCTATAACCCAGGCATGTGCACTGGCTGGGAATTGACCTGCGACCTTTCTGCTGGAGGGCCAGCACTCAATCCACTGAGCCACACTAACCAGGGCAGTTTGTTTTTTAAATTCAGTTGTTGATAGATATGCATTTATTGCCATTTTATTGTTCATAGTTTTGATCTTCTTTTTCTTAAATAAATCCCTTTAACATTTTGTATAGTAATGGTTTGGTGATGATGAACTCCTTTAGTTTTTCCTTGTCTGGGAAGCTCTTTATCTGCCCTTTGATTCTAAATGATATTTTTGCTGGGTAGGGGAACTTTGGCTGTAGGTCTGCTTTTCATGACTTTGGATATGCCTTGCCAATCTCTTCTAGCCTGCAAAGTTTCTTTTCAGAAATCAGCTGACAGTCTTATGGAAATGCCCCTGTAGGTAACTAACAGCTTTTCTCTTTCTGCTTTTAAGATTCTCTCTTTATTTTTAACCTTTGGCATTTTAATTATGATGTGTATTAAAGTAGGCCTCTGTGCATCCATCTTGTTTGGAACTCTCTGTGTTTCCTGGACTTGAATCTCTATTTCCTTCATCAAATTAGAGAGGTTTTCTTTCATTATTTTTTTTCAAATAGATTTCCAATTTCTTGCTCTTTCTCTTCTCCTTCTGGCACTCCTATGATGTGAATGTTGGGCCTCTTAAAGTTGTCCCAGAGGCTGCTTACACAATCCTTGTTTTCTTCTTGTTCTGATTGGTTGTTTTTTGTTTCCTTATATTCCAAATAATTGATTTGATTCTCAGCTTTATTAATTACTGTAGTTTCTCTGTAAATTGTCCTTTGTTGCAATTAGTGTATCCTTTTTTTCTAACTGAATTGTTTTTATGCTGTTGAGGTCCTCGCTAACTTCCTTGAACATCTTTATAACCAGTGTTTTGAACTCTGCATCTGATAGATTGCTTATTTTCATTTCATTTAGTTGTTTTTCTGGAGTTTTTATCTAGTCTTTCATTTGGGCCATGTTTCTTTGTCTCCTCATTTTGGCAGCCTCCCTGTGTTTGTTTCTATGTATTAGGTAGAGCTGCTATGACCCCTTGTCTTGGTATATGGCCTAATATAGTTGGTGTCCTGTAGGGCCCAGTCTGGGTACTCTAAGTATGCCCTTCATGTGCACTGAGTACACCCTCTTCTTGGTTGCTGTTGGCAGGTCAGTGGGAAAGATTTACCCAGACCAGTCAGCTGCAAGGACTGGCTGTGACCACTGACTACCAAGCTCTGCCCTCCGTGGAGGATCAGCTGTGCAGGGGCAGGGTGATGGCTCTGACATGGCCTGTAGCTGTCCACTTGGTGTACAGGCTCTGAGATTTCCCAGGTGGTTCAGGCCAAGGTCAGCCCCCACCTGTGTTTTTCCCTGTGCCACCCTGCCTAAGCTATAAAGCAGTCTAAGAAGGCTGCTGCTTATGCTGGGCTTGGAGATTATCAGGCAAAGCCAAACTGTGAATCTAGGCTGGTTGCTGCTTGTGCTGGACCTGGGGCCTCTTAGCAAGAGGTTTGGAGGCTGGGGGCTCACTGAGGTCAGCTATTGCTTGTTTGATAGGATTTAGGAAGTTGTGAAACATGAGCCAAGACCAGCCATTCGTATGGAAAAATAATGGTTAATAGTTTGGGGGGATCTGTAAATTCAGTGGGACAGTCTCAGGGCATCTCCAGGGTAGGGCAAACAGTGTTAGCCAGGTTGATGGAGTCTCAGACATAGCACCAGACTGCTGGTTCTGTGATTCTGGGGCGAGGACTCAGAAAGGGATAATGGCCTCTCCCCGCCTTTCTGTCTGAGAGAAAACTGTCCCCCAGCTTTTGCCTTGATGCCAGACACTTCAGTTCCTCTTCATACGCCACTGGTGCCTTTCAAGCTGCTACCCTGGTGCTAGAGCTCAGAGAGAGTGCGTGTGGGTTGTTTATGGGGAACTGCTTGGGACTCCGGAAGTTTCTTCCACCTACTCAATCCCCACTGGTTTTTGCAACTACAGTTATGAGGACTTATCTCCTGGGGAACCCTAGGCTGGGGGGCCCAGTGTGGGGCTGGGACTCCTTGCTCCCAAGATATTCCTTCCATATTTTTATCTCCCACATGTGGGTGTGGGACCAACCTGTTCTGTGTCTGCATCCCTCCTACCAGTGGGGATGGATGTGGTTTTTTAATTCCATAGTTGTCTGACTTCCATTCAACTTGATTTCTGTCGGTTCTGAGCGATGGTTGTTCTATATTTTAGTTGTAATTTTGAGGTGGTTGTGAGAAGAGGGGAGCCATGTCTGCCTACACCGCCATCTGCCCCCTGTTTATTTCAAGGCCTGTCTGGGCCCCTCCAGGTTAGCAGTTTTGGGTATGAATCCAAGATCTCTACTTATTTCTTGTGATACTACGCCTCTTCCTGAGCCCTCGTTGTTTCTCTTCTACCTGGTCTGGTCAACAGGTAGCAGAAATTCCTGGAAGTTTCCACTGCCTGGCACATGGCTGACCTCCCCAGTAATTGGAGCTGATGTATGGCCTTCCTGTTTAGTACTTCATTCTTAGGGCACAGTGGTTCGACTGCTGCTCTGAAGCTTCTATCTTTTCCTTGATGCAATCTGTAAGATCAGCTTCACTGAGGTATAATTTATGTAGCATTTAATAGGTTTGGACAAATATATGCAAACCTGTAGCTACCACCATAATCGTGACACAGAGTATTTTCACCTCCCCTAAAATGCTCCCTCATGTCCCTTTGTAGTCAAGCCTTTGTCCCAACCCCTGACCTCTGGGTGCCACTGCTGGGATTTCTGTCACTGTCATTTCCCCTTTATCCTTGACTCAAACCTGATTTTATTATTAAGCACCTGCTACTTTTACAATGAAATGAAATAAGAAATGTTCCATTGCCCTGGCTGGGTGGTTGAGTTGGTTGGAGGGTTGTCCCATGCACCAAAATGTTGCAGGTTCGACCCCTGGTCAGGGCACATATAAGAGGCAACTAATCCATGTGTCTCTCTCACATTGATGTTTCTCTCCCTCTCTCTCCCTTCTCTCTCTCTAAAATTAATAACTATATCCTCAGGTGAAGATTTAAAAAGAAGAAAAGGGTAGAAAAAACAAGGCATAAATTAAGTCACTAATTGGCTTCCTATTTAATTAAGGGCCAGCGCGGTCCCTTCAGAATTAGTGAGAATGGAGCTCTGTGATGCTCCGATTCCTCTGGGAAGGCAGGTGCAGCTCCCTTCCCGTCTGGGACTTTCATTGTCGGCCTCTCCTTGCTCCCCCAGAGCCTGTTCATTCGAGCTGTGCGGGCGTACAACGGCGAGAACTGGAGGACGTCCATCACCGACATGGAGCTGGCCCTTCCCGACTTCTTCAAAGCCTTTTACGAGTGTCTTGCAGCCTGCGAGGGCTCCAGGGAGATCAAGGACTTCAAGGACTTCTATCTGTCCATAGCAGGTTGGTGGGACTGGATCCCAGACGGCAGGGGGATAGCTGCCCGTGGCCTCCGAGGAGCCTTGCTGGGCACGGCAGACGCCTGCGCAGATCAGACCCGGCAGGGGCTTCTGGAGAGACAGGGAGTGTCATGTCCAAGCCCTGACCTGCAGAGGGCGAGCCCAGGCCTGCAGAGGGCGTTTATCCCATCAGCCCTGACCGATCACAGGTTCCCCACGGGCTTCTGCAAAAACAAAAACAGGCTCATGAGTAACTCGTGCCTCTTGTTACTGAGATAGCTCGAATGGTGGAATTTTGCCAGCACACAGAAAGGTAGGAGGAAGAGTATCATGAGCCTTAAGTAGTTGTCACTATGATAACTTTTGGGAAAAAATATTCTGATCATGAAACAATGCAGATTCATTATAAGAGGTCTAGAAAACACAGGAAAGAATGAAGAAAGAGCATGTAAAGCCCCATCCAGAGGGAGCTTAGATTTCCCTACGGGTTCTCGTCTCCCTCTGGTGGGCAGCGTCACTCCAGAACACGGGGAGTGGCCATGAAGAGATTTCCCAAGCTGGCTGTGGGACCGGGGATCCTAGCACTGCACCTGGTAGCAAGGGTGCCCTGGTCAGTCTAGCCTGGGCTCAAGCTGGGTGTGGCCTGCCTCTTGGGGAGGCCCTGCGCCCTTGGATGGGTCAAAGCTCGGAGAAATCTTGTGGTTTGGGGTCATTGAATCCAGGCTTTTAAATTTTTTTAAAAAAAATTTTTTTTTTGCTTAGGTGTGCCTTTTTCTACAGAGTACCTTTTTTCCCTTGCCAAAACCATTTTCTTGTGAAAAATTTCAAGCATTCAAAAAACAGAGAGATGAGCCCCGGCTGGTGTGGCTCAGTGGATGGAGCGCTGGCCTATGCACCAGAGGTTGCCAGTCGGTTGGCAACTAGTTGCCTGTCGGGCATGTTAGGGGGGCAACAGATCGATGTTTCTCTCTCCCCCTTCCCTTCTCTCTTGAATGAAAATGAATTAAACCTTTAAAAATGTTTAAAACAAGGTAACTTAAAAAAAACCCTCTTAACTAGATACCAGGCCCTGTTCTCTACTTTCTATGTGCAGTATCTCACTGCTGCAGCCCCATGAGGAAGGTGACAGCATTCTCCCCATTTTATAGCTGAGACAGCTGGGGCCCAGAGAGTATTGTGTTTATTGTCCTCAGGGGAAGGGCTGGGATCTGAGCCCAGGATGTCTGACTGCAGAGTCTTAACCTGTTAACCCTAATGAAATAGTGTCTTACCAGGTAGGGAACATTATACTTACACTTTGTTTTGTTTTTAGTAGCCAGCACATGCACATTGATTGAGCTGTGAAAGAGACAAAAGGCCGAGCTGTGGAAGATGAGTCTCCTTCTGTAGCAGTCAGGGCCCGACTGGCCGCAGATGGCACACGTCCACCAGGGTAGCTCACGGAGGGTTATCTACCGAAGTGTGGGTGAAGGGGACCCCAAAGGGCAACATGGGACCCCAGGGCTACTAGTAGTGAGCCATTTTCTCCTAGGTGAGGGGAGGGAGGAGGTCCAGGCAGCTAAAAGGAGATCTTGTTTCCATCCACTTCTCTTCTGCCTGTTCCACTTACCCCCAAAGGCAACCATTTTTACTAGCTTCTGGTTTATACTTCTAAAAGGTTTTCTTCTTAATAAAAATAAGCAAAGATAAGTTATCTTTGCTATACCTAATATAGATAGGTAGATAGCTAGCTGGGTAGGTAGATAAAGATATGTAGGGGATATTTTAGTTTTATTTTTAAATAATTTCAAACCTATAGAGAAGTTGCAAAAATAGAAGGAACTTTCATATACTTCTACCCAGATTCACTAATTTTTTAAATTGATTTTGAGAGAGAGAATGAGAAAGAGAGGGAAATATCGACTTACTGTTCAACACACCCAAGCACTCATTGGTTGATTCTTGTATGTTCCCTGACTGGGGATTGAACCTGCAACCTTGGCGTATAGAGATGATGCTGTAACCAACTAACATACCCAGCCAGGGTCAGATTCGCTAATTTTTTTACATTGGTTGTGCTACTTTATTATCCTCTCCCTGTGTGTGTGTGCATATTTGTTCTTATTACAGGACCACATGAGAGCAGGTTGCACATGTCATGACCCTTGAACCCATCACACTTTAGTGTATTTCCTAAAAACAACAATACTCTGCATATCCACAGTGCGGTCATTACATTCAGGCAACTTAATATCGGTGCAGTACTTTTATCCAATCAGCAGTCCGTATCCTAATTTTGTCAGTTGTCCCAATAATATCTTTTCTATTCAATAGAAACTTTTTTTGCCTGGTACAGCCCAGCCCAGGGTCATGTTTCCTAATTATTTTCTTCTTTAGTGTTTTTTTTTTTTTAATTTGGAGCAGTTGCTTGGCCATTCTTTGTCTTTTTATGCCATTGATATTTTTTAAGAACTTAGGCCCATCACTTTATAGAACATTCCTCAGTTTGGGTTTCTATGATGTGCCCTCACAGTTGTGTTCAGGCTGTGCCCACTTGGCTGGGACATTACAGAAGTGCCCTTCTCGGGCACCACATCCAGGTGGGCATGGTGGCTGTTTGCCCCGGATTGGCGCTGCTAATTGTTAAGCATTTGGTTAAGGTGTGTTTCAGTTTCCACCTTCTCCACAATGTAATTACTATTTTTCCTTTTGAAAATAATAAATAATTTGTGGAGAGTGTCCATCGAACTCTGTGTCTCCCCCAACCCCCAATCCTCTGATTTAGCATCTTTTGAGGGTTCTTGCCTGAATCATTTTTTTAAAAGATTTTATTTATTTATTTTTTAGAGAGGGAAAGGGAGGGAGAGAGAGAGAGAGAGAAACATCAATGTGCGGTTGCTGGGGGCTGTGGCCTGCAACCCAGGCATGTACCCTGACTGGGAATCGAACCTGCGATGCTTTGGTTTGCAGCCTGCTGCTCAATCCACTGAGCTATGCCAGCCAGGGCTGAATCATTTTTTTTTAAATAAAAGGTTGTATATATACAAATCTGTTTTCCCCTTATTTTCATGTCTGCTTCTTTCCTACAGAATAGGTACCATACTTGATACACTGTGGGTTCTTTGTTTATTCCACTTAACCACATGTCCTAACAAGTGCAGAGATGTTGTGTCTTTTTTTTTTTCAATTGCTACTGAATATTTCATTGCTAGGGGTGGGGGCAATATACTATGGTGTATTCAATTATCTGATGGACATTTGGGTTGTTCCAATATTTTGTTATTACATATAACATTGCAATGGGAAATTTCAGGTGTTTTTGTCTAATTATGGAGGCGTATTTCTAAAGTCACCTTAAGTGGGACTGATTGTGCAAAGAGTAAACGTTTCTGTAAATTATCTAGGATTTTGTTACCATTTTGCATTTCTACCAACAATGTAAGAGAGTGCCTGTTCTTCTACAGTCTTTCTAGCAAAATGTGCACCATTATTCTGGAGCCCTTTGCTTCTAGTTGCATGAAGGGAGAAAAGGCAGGGGCCAAGGACCACATGGGAGATTTTGGGGGACCAGGCCAAGACAGCATTCATTAGTTGCTGCATTTCACATTTCATTGGCACAGCTAGTCATATGGCCCCCACTTAACTACAAGGGAAGCTGGGAAATGTAGTTTTTGATATCTTTCTATGTTATTATATTTAGGTCCACCTATTGTTTTTCAAAGTCTTTATAGATTCTATTGTTGGTATGTGTCGTACTTTATTAATTATCATCCTATTGATTGGCATTTAGGTGATTTCCAAGTTTGTTTGCTGTTACTAACAGTGAGTGCTTCTGGGTGGCTATGTCTAAAAAAAGTTTCCCAGAACTAGACTGCTGGGTCAGAGGATATGTGTATTTTAACCTTTGATACATTTTGCCAAATTGCTCTTTGAAAAATGTGTCCTTGTTTTGCTTCTACCAACAGAACACGAGAGTAAGTCTCACCATTGTCTCCCTAACATGGGTGTCAGCGTATTTTTAAAAACTTGCCAATATAACCGTTTAAATTATCTTCAGTGGCATTATATTTCTTAATTACATATGAGGTTTAGCATCATTTCACAATGTTTATTAGCCACTTTTATCATTTCTTCTCTCGGCATCTTTTGGACCATTTTTATACTGGATATTTGCCCTTTTTTGGTTAATTTTGAGAAACTTTGCACATTAAAGATTTCAGTCCTTTATCATAAGTGTTGCACATATTTTATCTTTATCACTGGTCATTTTTACCTTTATCATCTGGGAGGTGGGCAGAAGCATTATTGAGAAAGTAACGAGTGCACGGCTCCGAAAACATGTGTGTGTCCTTTCAGATCATTACGTGGAAGTTCTGGAATGCAAAATACAGTGTGAAGGGAACCTCACCCCCGTTATCGGAGGCTACCCCGTGGAGAAATTCGTGGCTACCATGTATCATTATTTGCAGTTTGCTTATTATAAATGTAAGTAATCCTCTTCTTTGAAATCTTGGGTGTGGTACTTAATCCTTCTAAGACTCAGCTTCCCCCTCTGTAGAAGAGAGGTCACCCTTACCTATGGTTTTGAGATCAAGGTTACATCATCAGCATGACCTGGTGACTCAGGGCGCAGACCCTGGCACCTGACTGCCTGGGTTCAATCTCTAGCTTTGCCAGTTACTCGCTTCTCAGTGTCTCTGTTTCCTCATCCGGGAAGTAGACATAATAGCACTGACTAAGACTGAGATGAGGAATTAACCAGTTGATTGACATGGAATACAGAGGGTATTCACTCACTGGCACATAGCAAACTCTGTACCAGTGTTTGTTCTTTCTGTCATACTTTCCTCCCTCCTCATCACGGGCCTTGCTTTTCTCGCTGTTGGGGTTTCATTCCAGTCGGCTCTCCCTCGGCCTAAAATGAGTTCATCCATCGGAGCCTTCCAAGGGGACAAAGGGAAACAAGTGCAAGAGGGAAAGTAGTTTAGAGCTCAGTCGTCAGAGCCGGTCTTTTTTGGAGTTTCCTTCTCTTCCCGTGAAGACTGGCATTGCCGAGGGCCACTTGTTGGAGCAGCACGTACCTGGGCGGCTCAGTGACAAGCACAGGGGGACCGTTAGGGACAGCTGCAGCAGGCACTCCGTTGTCCTAGCGATGAAATGCCTCAGTGGCAGGTGACTGGCCGGGCTCCCCTGCGGTCCCCTTCAAACCTAGGGGCGGCTGGCCTCGGGCATTCAGGGAAGTCCCGGGAAGAGTGATGGGTGACCTTGACTTCTCTAGCCCTCCGTCCCCCTTGCAGACGTCTGTTCTTGGTTGGGCTCCCTCTTCCTGCATTAGCCACCTTCCTTTTTATCCTGCCTCCTGTCCTCCTCAGGGCACACTGAAAGACTTGCCTGCTGAAGGTGAAAAGAAAAAAAAATTTTTTTCTCTACTTATATATTTTTTTAATTGGTAAGTTTGGCTTCTCATCAAGGTTGCTCCTCTGAAACAGTCATTTTCACCAGGTGTTTCTGAGTTCGGTAACGTGCCTCTCTCAGGAGTGAACTTGATCTTCCGGCAGCCTGATTGGCACCTAAGGACACAATGAAAAGCTTTGCTTTTTCAGTTGGAACATTTCCGAGATCAGCCAGAGAGGGAGGTGTGTTTTAACAGGTGTCCTTCCCAGGAGTCCCCATCCATGGGTGGCAGGGAGGAGGTCCTATTTGTCTCACTAACCCTGGCACCGGCTCTGTGGCAGGGAATTATTTAGCACAGAGGACGAGAGTCGTGTTCTCCATAATCTACAAACACGATTCCATGTGAGATAGCACTGAGCACACAGTAGGTCCCCAGTGAATATTTACTGACTACACTCTCGTGTTAAGGGCATAGTTTCTTACTAGACAATGTTTTGCTTGTGAAGAGCCCTCTTTTTTTTAAATACAAGCGATTGATTGGTGCCTTCTTTCAAAAAGGCTTGCGGTCCTGGCTTGTCGCAGCAAACCACACGTCCGGGGGCTACCCGGAGAAACATCAGAAACATCGAAGCAAAGAACCCTTTCCCTTCTCCCCGCTCTCCTTCCCCCCACCCACAGCTAGCCGGTTGCTTTTGCTCATCCACACTTGGAAGAGCCTGTTTTAGTGGGAATGATAAAAAAATATGTACATGGTTTAAAAAACAACTTATGAAAACTTTAAAACGCCGCAGAGAGCGCGGGATAAGGAACTGCAGTCTGCCCATCACCAGCTTCAACAACTGTCACCAACACTTTGTCAGTCTTGGGTTCACAGTTTAAATATTTTCAGTTGGATTAAAACATAACCTAGTTTTTTTCGTTTTTAAAGGTTGTATCTATTTGTCTTTAGACAGAGGGGAAGGGAGGGCGAAAGAAAGGGAAAGATATCAACGTGAGAGAGAAACACCGATTGGTGGCCTCTCATGCGCGCCCCGACTACGGACCCAGCCCACAGCCCCGGCTGTGCCCTGACTGGAATCGAAACCAGCGACCCTTTTGCTTTGTGTGATGACGCCCAACCAGCTGAGCCACACTGGTCAGGACACATAACCTAGTGTTTTTATGTCATTTTCATGAAAATCTGTGCTGGCGCTTCACTGAGCTGGCCCCCTGCTAGACTTTGAAACATGGGAAGAATGCGTCGGGGCTTGGTTCTGCGTGCACAGAGCCAGAAAATGGGGAGTTTAGGAGTGTTTCAGACACTTCTAGACTCTGGCAGCTCGCTGGTCTTCTGAAATCCGTACCTGCTCTCAAGATTGCCCACTCTGTCAGAAACTGTGGCACTGATAGCCAAGCATCTAGCTTTGCTTACTCCTCCCCAGGAAATCTTTGCTCATTAGGGTGATAGGTACTCAGTATGTGCAAAATTTGCTTATCAATATTGGCTTCGTTAAAGTCTGCTGTGTCTTTTCCAGGACAGACCTTGTGGATACCTTGGCCCTAAGACCCTGGTTTTAAAGTTGTCATGACCAGAAGTAGCCACTGGGTGGCATGATGTATTCATACCCAGGCTTTGGTTATTCTGGTCAACCAGAGTTTGAACAAAAGGTAGTGTTTCTGGATTATAAATTGGAGCAGATTGTGCCAGAATGAATACCCAGGGCCTTGTCACTGGTCACCTCTTCTTCCTTGTCCCCTACCCTTGAGGGAAATCCCAACCCCTGCGAAACTTCTATGTTAAAGGTGCTGTCACAGACAGGACAACTCTAGGGAGGGAGGCTGGAGGTGGGAATCTCACTTCCAGGAAATGAGAAGACCAGGTGGGTTTTCAAATCTCTTCCAGCCCAGATCATCCACCATCCTCCTGAGTTGTCTAGATTTGGTTTAGCTGTAGGAGGGCCTGCCTGGGTCTGAGGGTTGTGGTATCATCCAGATGGGACCCAGGCGCTAGATGGCAGGGATGGGGCGGGAGGTGGAGGGGGTGGCACTCATTTGCTAAGTGTATCGTCCCTAACTGCCTTAGCTCCTTGACAGTCCAGGTCTTGGGACCCAGCCTCCTCTGGTTCCAGGGGTGTGAGCCCAGCTCTGGCCGCCGGAGCCCAAGGGGGAATGTGGTAGGCATTTCCGCACAGGCATCTGCCTAACGAGGAACCTGCACGTTTCGAAGCTTCAGGCTGCCAGGGAGACCCCGTCTGTGACCTGCTACCCAGGGATGATCCTGGTTGGTTGCAAACTACCCACCATCTGAAGGACAGACTGCAGAAGGGGCCCGTTCTCGACCTTTTCCTTTAGGAAGCTGCACTGGAAGGAAGGGTGGCCTGAGAGAGCCCTCGATTTCCTGTTCCTCTTTTCTCCTCCTCCCCAGTGAGCGACCTGAAGAACGCAGCCCCCTGTGCGGTCAGCTACCTGCTCTTCGACCCCAGCGACCAGGTCATGAAGCAGAACCTGGTGTATTACCAGTACCACAGGGACAAGTGGGGCCTGTCGGACGAGCACTTCCAGCCCAGACCGGTGAGTGCCAGGGCGCCGCCCCATCAGTCTCACTTTCAGGAGGCCACTTTGCACCCGAAGACAAAGGGTTGTCTTGGAAATAAAGGAAACTAATTTCTTCTCCTGTTTTTGTCTTTTGGCATTTTACTGCTCTATTCTGATTTTTAAACCAGTACAAACTCTACAGATTTCAAACATTAGGGAAACATTTTACTTAGAAAGTGAAATTGCCCCATCATTCCACACTTTCTCTTCACCCGCTGCCTATGATTGTACGTTTAGTCATCTGTGCAGCATGAATCCACTTATTTTTACAGAAACGGGCTCGTACTTCACACACAGTTTTGCATCCTGCTTTTGTTCTCACTGAATGTCCTGGGGTGACATTGGTTCGCAAAACCATGCAGGTTTCAAGGGTGCAAATCACTGGAACATCGTCTGCACACTGCGTCGTGTGCCCCTCACCCCAGAAACTTGCTTTGTCTTTCCAACGATTCATCACGAACATGTTGCAGGCCACGCCCACACACCTCCTTTGTGATCACTTGTAACCGCATCACCGTAGGCTCGTTAAGGGATGCACCATCATTTACTTCCTGCGATGGACAAACTCAGCTTCACATGTGTTCGGAACTCCATGGATTATGTACTACATTCAGAAGGTCTTTTCTGAATGACCGTTGTTCTAAACTTGCACTTCCACTGGGATTTCTGTATGGTGTCCCAGTTTGCCATTCATACATCTTTCTTCGCGCCTGCACCCACGCCTTCCTGCCCCCACTCACTCCCCTCCCCTCACACACGTCTCATTCACTGGGGGCTGGCCACTTTTTTCTAAAGTGAGACATAATTCAAATACAATAAAATTCATGCTTTTAAAGTACCTACATCACAGTTTTATTATATTCACAGAGTTGTGCTCCCGTGACCACTATATAATTTTAAATATTTTCCTCACTGCCCCCCGCCCCGAAAAAAAATCCTATGCCTCCTCCAAGTTCTACCATTAAAAGGTTGGTCATATAAACTCTTCTCTTTCTGTGTCCGAACAGGAAGCGGTTCAGTTCTTTAACGTGACTACAATCCAGAAAGAGCTGTATGACTTTGCAAAGGAAAATATAATGGATGATGATGAGGTAAGTTTTCATAGTTAGCGCACGTCTGGCTAAGAGAAAAGATTACTCACATCTCCGCTAAACATCACTGGAAGGCGAGTCATCCCCGAAATAAGAAACAGAAGGGGACCTTGAGAAATGCAGTTTCTGTGGGCGTGCTAATGAAAGGCAGAGCACAGGCCTGGGGAAGACAGCTTTCTAGGAACCTGGCTGAAGGGCCGCACTCCCCAGCGGTGGGGATGGTGGGACGGGCCAGAAATCGGGAGCCGTCCAACCATCATTCTTTTACTTTATAAAAACACAGTGAATGTTCAGTTACTCATCAACCTGAAGACACTTGGAAACGCCCATCCTGATTTTTATTTGAGATTATCGTGTTTTGTTTTGTTTTGTCCTGTAAATTAGGTCCTTGCTCTAATCCTGACTCTCACTCAGCTGACTCCTTTCTCGTTTACGGAGCAGTGGTTGTGTGGATGGGCGGCCTCGTCCCAGTAAAGCCATCATTAGGGGTAGCATGGAGAGAAAAGCATTTGGAACAAACTGGGAAATGCTCCCTAAGACAGCTGGGGACATGCCAGCCATTGGAGTTGGAAGAGAGCCGTGAGCTTGTTCTGGTCGGACCCCTCACTTCACAGGCGAGGAGCTTGGGGGACAGGACAGTTCTGTGAGTTGCTAGGCCAGACCCGGGTTTGCGTGCTACCGACATGCAAACACAGCCAGCTACTGTGGTTTGTCAAGTGGAGAAAAATATCTTTCCAAAAAGGGGGAGGAGCTGAGTTTCTGATCATCCAGAGGCAAGCTACTACTGATATTTTGGTATATATGCTTCCACTTTTTTCTACTCATTTTCTGACATATATTCATTATAAACTCAACTCTAATTATCTATCATGGCTTTTCCATTTAGCGCTGTAATATGAGCAGTTTTCCTTGTTAGGTTTTTCTAGAGCAGCTTTGTTGACATATTATTCACATACTATAAAATTATTCTTAAAGTATTCGATTCTGTGGGTTTTAGTATGTTTATGAAGTTGTGCATGCAACACGACTATCCGGTTTTAGAGCATTTTCATCCCCCCCAAAAGAAACCCCAAACCTATTAGTAGTCACTTCTCTGCTCTCTGCTCGCCTCTCTTTCCCCTCTGCCCCCAGCCCTCGGCAGCCCCGAACCTACTCTCTGTCTCTGGATTTACCTGTTCTGGACACTTCATATAAAAGAATCACATGACATGTGGTTTTTTGTGACTGGCTTCTTTTATCAAGCATAACGTTTGCAAGTCCAGCCATATCGTAACATGTATCATGTTATATGTAAAAATTCCGTTTTATTACAGATTAATATTCCACATTCATATGCCGCATTTTGTTTATCTGTTCCTCTGTTGATGGCCATTTGAGTTGTTTCCACTTTTTGGCTCTTTTTGAATAATGATGTTATGAACATGTGTGTACAAATTTTTATTTGGACAAAAATATTCAGTTCTCATGACCAGGGGTATATACCTAGGTTTATCATGAGGAGTAGAATTGGTTGGCCACTGCTGGTTAACTCGTTGAGAAATTGCCAGATCATCTCCAAAGTGGCTGCACCATTTTACACCCGCACCGGCATGGTGGAAGGGTTCCAGTTTGCTACATCACTGTTTGCCTTCTTTATTGTAGCCGTCCTGGTAGGTGTGAAGCGGTATCTCATAATCAAAGTGGTTTTCATTTGCATTTCCCTAATGACCAATGATGTTGGACATCTTTTCATATGCTTATTAGCCATTTGTATATCTTCTCTGGAGAGATGTCTCGTCTGTTCAAACATTTAGCCCATTTTTTAATTGGGTTGCTTGTCTTTTTATTGTGGAGTGGTAAGAGCTCTTTTTATGTTCTGACTGTAAGTCCCCTGCCAGATGTGTGAATCGCAAATATTTTCCCACAATCTGTGGGTTGTCGTTTTCATTTTCTTAATGGTGTCTTAACACACAAACGTTTTAAATTTTGGTGAAATCCAGCTTATCTATTTTTATTTTGTTACTTATGTTTTTGGTGTAATATCTGAGAAATAAATGATTGCCTAATCCAAGTTCACAACTCCTATGTTTTAAGATTTTTATAGGGTTAGCACTTACATTTAGAACTATACTCTGTTTTGAGTTAATTTTACATATAATGTATGCATAGCGACATGCAAAAAACCCCACAGCTAGCGACATACTAAATGCTGAAACAGAATACTTTTCTTCTAAGGCTGGGAATAGGACGACGATGTCCACTTTCTCTCTTTCTATTTGACATTGTGCTAGAAGTTTTAGCAAGGGCGGTTTGCAAAGGAAAATAAATAGAAGGCATCCAGATTGAAAAAGAAGTGAAACTACCACGATATTCATAGAAAACATGATCTTGTCATTCCCTCTGTCAGGCCGAGGATGTTCTCCTCTTCCTCCTTTGTTGGGTCGTTTGATCATGAAGATTCAGTAAAGCTCTCTCACGTCACCAATGAGGAAACTAATTCAGAAAAAGAACCCAGGTCCTGGTCCTTGAGAAGCTCACGGGCTGGTGAGCAGGGCAGAGAGGAAGGGACAGTCCAGGTTCCTGTGGCATCACTGCTGATGGGATGGCAGAGGCGTGGGGAGGGAGGCACTGAGCAGGGTGTTTCGGAGGCTGGCTGGGCTGCCCGCCTCACACTGGCCATCTGTGGGGGCTGCGGAGCACCTGACTCCAAGCTCACATGCCGTGGAAGCCAGGTGCCTTCCCAGGGAGAAGCCCAGTTCTCGGCCCAAGGATGGTGGGGAAGGGCTGCTGCAGCCCCAGCAGGCAGCTGGCAGTGGCCCCTCGGAAACAGTTTCTGCCCACCAGCACCCCTAAAGCCGGGTGGCCCACGTAACAGAGGTGTCCTGTTGTCTCTTACAGGGGGAGGTCGTGGAATACGTGGATGACCTCTTGGAGCTGGAGGAGACCAGCTAGTCCACAGCAGCCAGAGAGACTTCCCTTCGAAGTTTTCAGGAAACAGATTCCTTGCCTTCCCTTTCCCCCTAGCCCAAGTGGCTGATACCTCAAAGCCTTCTCTTTACTCTGTGAAGTGAAAGGGAAGCCCCGCCTCTCACTACATATAACAAGGGGTGAGCCTGCCTTCCCCGTGACTACACCTGCCTCCTGGTCTTCACTCCTACTTTCTCCGCATTCCCACCTGCCTCTCCACCTTCACACCTGTCTTCCCCGTGTCCATACCTGCCTTTCTCACCATTGTGGTCGGAAGGAGAGTCTTCTATTTGTTTCCCCAGAAAAACTTAATATTATTTTTTAAATAAGAAAAATACTCCTAAAAGATGATAAATTGTGAAAACCTACTCCGACCTTTCTACCCTTCCAGATGTTAGTCTTTTTCACCCCTGTACCCCGATCCAGTCCAGGAAAGCTGGTGGAAGACAAGGGCTAAACTTCCCCACACTCATGGCGGTCTGCACGTGGTCCGACCTGCACCGTTTCTGGCACCCCCTGAAAGAGAAGTTGGACGACAGCGTGCCTTGCAGAACTGTGGCTTTTGCTCCTCGCTTTTTGCATCTCCTAAGTCCTACCATGGTTGGTCCATTCCAGCTGGGTACAAGACCCAGTTACCAGGCCCCGAGTTGGAAATGGAAGAAGGCAGAGGGAGTCTTGTTTCATTTGTTCCTTCAATAAATATTTATTGAGCACTGCCTATGTCCTAGGCATTGACCTGCCACTGGAGATTCTGCACAGAATAAAAGAAAAAAAAATCCTTGCCCTCACAGAGCCTGCATTCTACAAGGAGAGACGGACAACGAATAAACAGGAGTAAATATAGGGAGGGTGTCAAGGGTGATCATTGCTGTAGAGAAAAATAAACCAGGCAAGGTGGCAGGGTAGCCTGAAGATGAGGCTGCAGTTTTAAGTAGGGTGGTCAGGGAAGGCTTCAGGTGACAGCAGAGCAGAGACCTCAGGGAAACAGCTCTCAGGGAAAAGCATTCTAGGCATAGGGAACAGCACATGCAATGCTTTCCAGGGAGAGCACACTTGCTGTGATCAGGGACCCGCGAGGAGGCGCTGGAGGTGAGTGGGCAAGGGGAAGGACAGAAGGACAAGGGGCTCGAGACACGTGAGTATGGCAGAGTGGGGAGAGGGCAGATGGCCTAGGGCCTTGCTCAGCATGTAGGGCCTTTGGCTTCTCTAACTGGGGTGGAAGCCCCTGGAAGGTTTGAGCAGAGGAGTGCCTTGACTTCCATTTCACAAGGATTATCCTGGCCGTCCTATTGTGAAAGCCCTGAAAGTGAGCAAAGCGGAAGCAGGCATACGGGTTAGGAGGCTGCTGCAGAAGCCCAGGCAAAGGGGATGCAGGCTTGGACCTGGGGGGTAGTCATGGAAAGGATGCTAAGTGCTCAGATTGTGCATTCATTTTGACAGCAGGGCCAATAGAATTTGCTGACAGATCGGATGGTGACCTCAAAGTTTTTGGCCTGGTTAACAAATAGGATGGAATTGCCATTTCCAGAGATGGGGAAGATGGGGAAGATGGGGGGTGGGTAAGTAAAGAGTTTTGTGTAAAGCAGGCTGAGTTTGGGGTGAGAGGTACAGGCTGCAAATCCAATTTGAGTTTTCGCGGGTCTGGTCTGCTGCAGAGCCTGAGACGGGAATCAGGATGCATGTGGTTAATTGCTGTGAAAGCCTCCACCGGTTAGTTATTGACTGCGTGTTAGGGGGTGGGGGTGCCTTTGAAGACAAGTGGCTTGGTCAGCCCAGTTCTCAGGAAAAGGGACTGTGGGTCACTGGCGGCCAACAGGCAGGCCCAGAGGGAAGGGTGAAGGGGACCTGGGAGGAGATCCACAGCGCCTGCTACTGAGCCATCTGCATGCGAATGCTACTTGAAGCCAGGAGGCTGGATGGGGTCATCTTGGCTGCATGTATATATTAAGAAGCAAGAGAAAAGGGCCAGGGGAGGAGCCCTGGGGGTCCTCTGTGCCATGAGAAGTCCATCGAGGAGACTGAGAAGGAGCTGCCTTTTGGACCGGAGAAAACAGGGGAGTGAGGTGCTCTGGGATGTGAGCTTTCATTATTCAACCTTATTCTCTCCTCCAATAAGCTGCTTAGTCTAGTTGGCATGCTCCCACGATGGAGGCAGGAGCCAATGGGACTTTTCCACAGCGGTCTGGAACGGGCTGAAAGGACACTGAGTCTGGGGTCTTTAGTGTAAGGGTGATTAACTGCCGGTGGAAAACACACCTTTGCCTTTCCAGGCTTCCTTTTCCCTCACCTCCCTGTTCCAGCCTCTGGGGACCTGAACGTGCCCTCTCTCTCCTTCGGTCCTATCCTGCGCCCTCATCCCCTTTCTCCTGAGAGCACTTCCTCTTTCACCTGCACCAAGTCCTGTCAGGATCTTCTGGGTTACCCAACTACTGTGGCTTTGGCTGAATTTGCCCAGGGGGCTGTATGGCCAAAGGAGTCAGTGTTATTGCCACTACTGATGTCCAAAGTCAAGGCACCCCAGCCCAGCGATGGGTCAGATCCTCTATGGCTTCTGACCATGAGATGCTGGGTTCTCCTTGCTTCCCTTGTCCCACCCTCTACTCTACCAAAGAAGCTTCTTTGGAAGTCAGTGGGGAAGAAGATCATCAGTCAGGACTACGAAGTAGAGGGGGACCCAGTGAGTGCCCTCCCCCAGCATTCCTGAGTCATGGGAGTAGTGCCTCCTGCAGCTGTTCAACTCTCCTGAAGCTCTGGGCTGCCGTGGTCCTTCCTCGCCAGCCATGTGAGAAAGTGCAAGGAGACCACCACAGGGACAGGGCTGGGCGGGGTGGTCTGACTCCACCTCTGCACCCTGCAGAGCTTCCATTTGGTCCTCTTGCTTAGGTCCTGAGCCTGGGCTGAGCATTTTGTGGAGGATGTATTTCTGCACAGGGTCCAGTGGCAGTAGTAGTGGCAGGGTCCTCATTCACTCTCTGAACTTGGCCTCTTTCCACCAGGGATTGAAAAGCACCTCCACCTCCATCCTGGTAGTGGCCCCTGAGAAAGAAACCCTGGGGACAGCATGGTCAACATTGTTAGCACTTTGCTTTGATCGAAGGGTGTAGAACTGAGTTACTAAGCTTTTTATTTCAAAGGAGACCAAACTGATCTCTATAAATACACACTCGCGCATACACACACACACACGAGAGCCAATTCCTCCAAACCTACCATGAAACCCCAGTGTGCAGGCTGTACTCAACAACCTCAGCCCAGCGCCTCCCTGAATAGGTGTCTTGGAAGAGCCTAGAAGAGCCTTTACTGAGACCTCATGGGTTCAGCCTCAGTCTGGTCTGTCTTTTGAAAAAACAAACCTATGTGTGAGCTTTGTGGGAGTTGCCAGACCCGCCTACGATGCCTCACTTGCCCTCTGACCCACCAAACGCATGCAGTGTTTGGTTTCCTCGGGCTGGTCCCACCCAGGGAGGCTGCCCACCCTGGGGGCAGGGGGATCTGTCCAGCCACACTGCCACCCTGGTAACCAGGCAGGGGCACCCACTGGGTAGGGTCTAAGGGCTCCTCCTTGTGACCCCTGTTGATGATCAGGCTTTAACAGTGAATGGCACAGGGTTCGTGGGTGCACATAAGTTTAAAAGGGACTAATTGTCTGGTACCAATGTCATATACCAACACATTGAACATACTAACACCTTTCTGAGTCTCAAGACTTTCTATTTACCACCACAAACCTGTTGCCCCCCCCTTCTGGGATCGCGGAGTACCACTGGGGACACTGATCACAAAGGCCGCCTTGGGAAAGGTTGCTTTTAGGAGTTCTTACTCAGGGAATGTGAAAAGCACAAAAATTGTATTGAACCAAACTCAGTGGCAAACAGAAAATGATTTGTTAGATTGTCAGTGGGAAAGGGTTTATTATGACTGCTGGTGGGATAAACAGTGGCCGGTTTCTGCCAACATTTATGGAAATAACGTTTTTAAGTTTTAAATGTGAGCTGTAAACCTGAGCGCCTTCAGTTTTTAAAAAGGGAAAAAAAAATTCAATAGTGAAACTGTGGGGAGAAGGTGGAGCAGAGCCAGAGAAAACATTCTCATTTAATAGTGTTTGCACATGGGACTACAACACAGTTCGTAGCGAGGCACTGAGAAAAACCCACAACTAATCCTTCATCGCAGCTGTCTGAACTCTTGATCATCTGCCATCCCCCAAACAGCGCCTTCTTTTTTCTGGTGACTCCAGGCTTGAATGACCTAGTGTGGAGAGTTTCAACTGTATACAAGGGGCGGGAGGGGGAAAGGAGAGGAACCTTAAATAAGCCTCAGCCAAAGGTTTTGTGCATTGGGCTTCCTGTGCCTGCAGCCGGGCAAGGCGGCTCCCCGCCCCATGCCCGTGGCATCTCCCGGAGAAGGAAGACACCAGCACAGTCCAGCTTCGCCTTGACTGACCCTCTCCTACCCCAGCACTAAGGGTCAGGAGCGGCTGTGGTGTGTGCCGTAGGAGAGTGCTCCTCTCTCCAGGGCAGGCGTGTAAGCGCCACCCCCCCCATCCCTGCAGCACCTCCAAGTGCTGGGGGATGGCCTCTCCAAGATCCGGCTTTGGTGAATACACGGGTTGGCTCACTATGCTCTCGGAGCTGACGGGGTAAAATGCTGGTGCCTCACTTTACAAGAAACAAACAGGGACACAGTAGGTAGGTTGTCCAGCAGATCAGTCCCAGTGCTTCACTGCTCGCTGCAGGGGGCCGTCAGTAGGCCAGGCCATACAGGTTGCTGATATAAAGGGGGCTGATGTCTTTGCCACCCCTCCTCCTGGGGTAGGGCAGTTTATGCAGTCTCACTCTCGTGGGAAATTAGGACCTAGGACATTGTTGAAAACAATAGTATTTTTTTAAGTCACATTCACTGTTTTCTTTTGCTTATTCTTTACTCTTTTCTCTCTCTATCCACCGGATGAAGCTGTCTGAGCCACACCCAGTTACTCTGGGACGCATGTTCTACTGAGCTGTTTTCTCAGGTCTGTGAGATTTCTGACGTTGACCTAGCAAAGCAGAAGCCTCGCCCCAAGGACTTTCAGATCTCGTGCAGCGAGTGGTCCTTGCTCGACAGAAGCAGGGCGAGGGCCTTTCAGGAGAGAGAGGCTCCTTCTCCCAAGGAAGGTTTTTTTTTTTTTAAGAGACCTGGGATTCCATTAGGAAAAACCTTTTCCAATCCAGGGCTGGCTTTGGATCTGATGAGTTGTTCCCTCACTGCCAACGTCTCAGAAGGGAAAGAATATTCACTGTTTCAAACAAGGCCCAGACGCATCTCCGGGCAGGACTGCCGACAGCCACCGTGTTCCACGCGTGTCACTCAAGGGCAGGCAAGGAGAGAACGAAGAGCGTGGAAGCAGGCCGGTGGAAAGAGTGAGGAACTGGCCGGGGCGAAACCAGAGACCCACGGTAGGGAGAGTTCAAACGTGAACCTCTAGAGGAGGTGGCTGACATGAATTTTGTTGACGTCAGTGGAAAAGTTTGGATTGAGGAGTGGCGACGGCGGCGGGAGGAAGAGTTTGCGCGTTGACAGATGTCTTGGGTCTGGATCCCTTGAAGCAAAGCCTTACTCCAGTGATGAGTAATCCCCGGTTGGGTGAGGGGGGGTGGGCGGGGCTCTGTAGGCTCCCGCCCCCCACCACCACAAAATCCTGCTGCCCGGGGAGAGTGTGGCTTAGAGGGTGGGCAGTCTTAGACAGAGCAAGTTTGAAGAAATTATTTCCAAGATTATTAGACATTTTTTTTTACAAGAAAAAGTCACTATGAAGTAGCCTAGGTATAAAATACATTAAGCAACTGTTTGGGGACATATTCATT